GAAAGAGACTGAAAGAGAGAAAATTCCAGTACAAATGCAGGGATGATGAGGAAGACGACCCTAAAATATCAAAAAGATTGAAGTAATAAAGGGTAATATGGTCAAATAAATGAAAATAGTGTGGGATTAACAAATTTGGATGTGGCGATATCGATAACCAACCCACTAAACATGATCATATATCAATAACAACAAAATCATGTAAGGTAAATAACTAATTAATAGGTAAAATGCTGATTGTTTCATGGAAATTAAACTGAAATAGCTACCATAAACGGAAAAAGAAAAAAAAAAGTTTAACTTCACGGAACAGGCAGCATATCAGTACTTACCCAGATATCCCTTCGTACACGGATCCGAAGGACCCACGGCCCAGGAGCCGACCTTTCTGCCAACAAGTAATATTCCTTTCGAAACTCTCATTGGAAGAAATGTAGGACGTGGTCTCGGTTGTGGTACTGGAAAAATTATCATTTGCAGAATGAAAGGAACGGGATTCAGATGACACTGCAGTCTCCCCGATCCTTACCCGGGTCTCCTCTTTCCACACCAGTCTCTTCATTTAGAAGACATAAATTCAAATTTTTATTTAAGAAGAAATAGATTTCTTTCACCAAAATCAATAGGTTGTAATTTCAATTATTTAAAGATTGTTTTGAGTTTAGGTAAATAACCTAATTTAATTGATTAAAATAATCTCTTTTTTTTTCTCTTTTTCTTTTCTGTTTTTCTTCAACCAAATACACTCTAAATTCTCTTTATCTAACTTATGTGCAAAAAAGTTGATCCGAGTTGATTAATTATAAAATTAAGAATAATGACAGATGGGGCGACATCGGCTTCTACCGTGAAGACTGGGTTTACGGCACCTATTAATTATTAAAGATTAATAACCTTATTAAAACAAAATACAGTACATACGTGTTGGACTTGGACAGTAATCCTCGAACAAATTAAATAATCATCAAATTGCCTTCCAAATATCACTAAAATTAACAGATTCTCTGTTGAGATTAGAGATAATACTAAACTCTTTTGAGATCCGTTGGTGGGACAAACCGACAAAGACAAAAGCAGTATCTTTTCATTTCTTGGACTCCGTCCATCTTAATAGAACCATTTACATAAAACCATGCAAACAAGTACATGGGATTCGACAAAGTCCCCTGTTGGAAAAATGGAATTGGTGTTTTTCTTTTTCTTTCTCAAACTACGAAATTTCTAGCATTTTGCCATCGCAAGGGTGACTTGAACCTTCTTCACCGCACAGCAAACTCCATAAATGGAAAACTCTTTTAATGTTTATCTTTTTATTTACAAAACTTAAACTCAAATTTTTTTTTAAAAAAATCAAATTTCTTCTATTCATACCAATAAGTTGTTGATGATTATTACTATTACTTAATATTCTATATTCACCCTTATTTCATTTTATACATACTACCCACTCATTTAAATAGGCATGAAAAACTCCTTGATATAGGTACAATTGGAACAATAGTATATTTAATGTTTTTTTGAATGTAAAGAATAATAAGTAACACGACTTAAAAAGTTCGAGTAATTATAAATCTTTACAAAGATTGCACCCTTAACCTTAAATGTTGGATTTAAATCTCTCATTTTAAATTTGTGCTTGTTAAAAAAGAAATATAAGTAGAAATTTAAACCACACATTTTTAAGTAGCCATGACAAGTTGACAACTAACAAGTAATGAAGTACTCTAATTTCCTTACCCTATGGTTTTTTTGTTTTTCAATTCCTTACCCAATGTTTGGTCGTGAGGAAAAACCAACGAGATGAGAGGGAAGATAATATATCTTTTTATTTTTCTATATTTTCCTTCTTTCTCATTCCCTTTCCTTTAATTTTTATTATCTAAATAGAGAAAATAATCTCTCTCCCCTCACCGCCACTCAAACCAAATAATCTATTAGAGATTCTTGGAGTGAATAAATTGACAATAGTTTCTTGATAGCCAAAGAAAAATATTTACAAAAATATTTTAATTATAATGTTATGTAGAAATATAAATTTATAATTATGATGTATTATTAA